CTAGGGTCTTTTTGCGGGGGGGGGGGGGCTGTGGCCGTGGCGTGCGGCACCCATGTCAGGATCCGGCCATCCTAACAGGAAGTGCAGTGGCCCCGGGCGTCGCGAAGAGATTGCAGCGATTCGAGATCGTGTGCAGGTCCGCTTCAACTTGGATCCTTTCGGCGCCAAGTCTGACGAGGAGTTCCAAAGCCCTGTTACTGTTTTCTTTGGATACGAGACTCAGACTCAGAGCCTGGCCCTGGCTGTAAGGAGCTTTGGCAGGCGCGCGCTCTCTGCAGTTCGCAGTCTTCCGGTTCTGGCGTCATGCTCTGTTTTTCAGGTCTTGGAGAAAAGCCAGTTGAAGCCCGTATCCCGAACTGGCCCACAGTTTGCACCACTTATCGTGCGGGCGCGCTGAGGCCGAGAATCGAGAGCGCCGGAGGTCTGGACAGCAAGGCCTCCGTAAAAAATGCGCATGCGATCGAAGCCAGCTGGAGCTTTACTTACATCGGGAGGTGGAAGAGGGCGGCGGCAACTATTCGGTTGGGGAGCTGCAGCTGCTCTGCTTGGCCCGTGCTCTGCTACGACGACAGGATCCAGAGAGCAGTATTGATTTTACTAATTGAAAACGTGGTGTCGACTTGTGCAATCTGTAGGAGACGGGTGGACTTCTGCTTCTCGACGAGGCGACTGGCACATCGCATCCCGACATGCAGCGACTGTACTGCACCAGGCCACAAGCGCGCTGGACCAGGAAACCGACCAGACGATTCAGAAGGCAGGTCTTCAAGAGCGGAGCAAACCCAATCCAAAACACAAACCGGGAGACCGAGCTATCTTCATGACAAGACGCTTCGGTTGCCACAGGTCATCAGGTCTGATTTCAACTGCACCATCATCACTATCGCACACCGGATCCAAACCTTGCCAGAGCCCAAGAGTTTCGAGACACGGCTGCGACACTGCAAGAAAGCCGCAACAACGAAGGATGGACTACGACAAGGTGGCGGTTTTCGAAGGTGGCAAGGTTGTGGAATTCGATTCGCCACAGGACTGCCAGTCTAGACTTATCGATGTGACTACTTCACATGACGCTGGCTCCACAGCTTCAGACAATGAGCGGTTCACGTTTTTTTGCCCACTCAGCTGATTTTGGGGCGTTTCCAGGCTTTCAGGGAGTTCGCACCCTGTTTGTTCAACCCTCCCAGTGCTCCAAGAAACGGTTTGTCCACATGTGTGGACCCAACCTTCGCCCAAGCCCCCGCCTGCAGCCTGAGTAGCCAGACCACAAGGCCCGTGCCTATCGCAAAAAGCAAGTTGCGGAGAGTCTGGGGGATGCCCCTAATTATTAAGGCGAGGAAAGAGGCACTCAAAGAACACAGCCAACACCTGAAAGAGAACACTGCCTAATTACAGGTTTGTTGGCTCCCTGAATGTATTGTTACTCTCTCTGACACACACACACACACAAACGCGCGCTGTCTCTCTCTATCTATCTCTATCTCTATCTCTATCTCTATCTCTATCTCTATCTCTCCCTCTCTCTCTCTCTCTCTCTCTCTCTCCTGTTTAGTGCAGCATGTTTGTTAGAATTTGTGCTCGTCCTTTCCTCCAGCCAGGAGCTGCTGAAGCAACCTTCAAAGTTTCAGGCGTTGGCCAAAGAGGGCGGTGTGATTGCTTGAGTTGCTGAGTCAAATCTCTGAAGTTGAAAATTTACAGAGATGATCCAGAAACTGGAGCATGCATCGTGCATTGCCACGCAAAGTTTGGGGCAGTGAGCTTAGACCTTTTCCAAAGCTCTGTCGAACCAATTTTCGTCCCGGCTGCCCAACGGGCTTTCTGGCCGAGTTGTACTCCATGTCCTTAGTTTTGGGTGCATCGCGACGGAAGCCTTGTGGCCTTCGTCGGCGAGCCTTTGGTGTGCGCATTTGCACTCTCGTGGAGGTCTGCCTGGCCATGCCAAGAGACCTAACTCACGGGTGCAGCACAGATTGATTGTGACATGCATCACAGAAAGGCGAGTTGCTTTGCAAATTCCAGGTTCTAGCTGCTTTTTGCAAGGAGTTGGCCAGATGAAAGCCAACGACCCCTCACTGGCCGGCAGAACAGATTCGGTCACCAAAAACAGCCGCTGACGTCACGAAACAACCAAAAGCAACTGTTGCACGAAACCCCCCGCTGGAACCTCACCAAAAAGCACCGCAAAAATCACCTGAAGAACGTGGTCCCAGAGCTGAACCCAAGCAAGCCTGAGGCAGGTACAGTTTGGTTAGGTTTGGTCTGCTCCATGCAAAGGCAGCCCAAGAGCTTGTTTTTCATGGAGCTTTGCGTCGACAGGTCAGGTGAATGGCGGCACGACACCCAGCCTACCCCATCTTAGGCACCCAGCCCACCGCAACCTAAATCCGACATAACCGAAGCCAATGACCTAACTGACCGAACCGAGCTGATCTATCTTGTTGACCCGATCCAGGCTACAAAAATCTAGCTTGGACCCCACCCAACTCCACTCCCCAACCTAACCACAACCCAATCGAACTGACTCAACCTGACCCATAGTCTACAATTAATTGCCGAAGACTAGTCATGTTCATGTAGAAGTTGCGACTACTTATATCTGTACATTTATTTAGATGTCCGTAGAACAGAAACAAGCTTATGTCCCAGCGCGGGCGCCTGGAGGAGCGCATGCAGCTCGAGCCCGGGCAGTACCCCCTTCTGAAACGGAGAGCGGGATCCACCAAGCCGCCTGGTGAACGTCGACCAAAACAGCCAAGATCAAAACCACGGACCGGTCTTCATGGGTGATGGCATTGAGCACACCGTCGCAACGTGAGCTTCGCCCATACTTGTAGCTCGGACCTGCCTTTGCTTCGGTGGGTAAATTCTCTTGCTAAAGTGCCCCGCGTGGCGCGCAGCCAATATTAAGGCTTATTAAGGCACCAGCCCCCCGCACCCCAGCGATGCCGGCCCAGGTGACTGGCCACATGGCTGGCAGCATCACGCGACGTGGCCTTGACAATTCTACTTTCACGAGATACCCTGCAGCCGGATTCCAGGGCACTGCTGCGCTCGCAGGGCCGCGGTCCGCGCTGGAGCATGGTTGGTGGAGGCAGGAGCATGGTTGGTGGAGGCAGCTCTCACTCTCGCCCCGCAAGCAATGCAGATCGCATTGCGGCATCGGCTGCACCTGCCGTTGTGCCCGAACCGCTGCGGCCCGGACCCAGGAGCCAGAGCGTGGGCCAATTTTCTGGGAACCATGCATCGGCCCTTGTCGTACGCGAAGCGGTGGGCCCAGACGGGCAGGTCGTGCGCCAGCAGTGGCTGTCATACACGACAGCAGCCCGTATGCCGGCGGTGCGCTGTGCTGCGATGCCACGTTGGTTTCGCCCCTCACGCGGACTGGGCACCCACGGCCAGACTCGCCGCGCGCCGTCAGCACTCTGCGTACGCGGAGCTGAGTTGCGGGTTTCGTGAGCGACCTCGTCAGTGCGCGTGCTCAGCGAGCCCCACCCGCCCTCCGGCGCATGGCGGCCAGCCGCCTGGTCGCGCCGTTTGCGGAGCTTGCTCGGCGTGGCTGTGCAGCAAGCCGTCGCCAGCACAGCACTCGGGCGGGCATGGTTTGCTCCGCCCCAGCCAACTAACAGGCCCCAGTCGGATGCCGCTTTAAAAAGGTCCGTGGAAAATCAAAGTATTTATTCTCTTGCTCGAGAATAGCCGGCTCAACTTAATCCATGACACAGCCAAACACAAAGAGTAGCTTCGCAACCCATCCAGTGGCAGGGGTTTCCTCGTCGCCCAACCCTTCGCCGACCGACTGTCAGCGGTGGGGGCATGGCTGTGATCGCTTGCGCCGCACCACCTTGGCCGCGCAGGCACACTACACGTCCACGTGTGGGTGGGCTTCCTTGACGCCTCAGGCTGAAAAATAAAACTCAATGTGCCGTTCATCGGGGATGAACACGTCGAGGCTCAACGTCAGCTGGGCGGACATGCCGAGTTACCCTCGCGTGGCCGCTGGCCTCACGGATCCTCACGGCACGGCACGCACTTTCGAGGGCTGTGCGATGCTCGCCGATCAGGTCTGACTGTCACCGACTTTCCGTGACATCCGCATCTGCACGGCGCGTCTGCACGGTTGTCTTAGGAATTTAAACCAGATGCGACGTAGAAGTTTGTGTCGGAAGGTCAGCAGGCCGCGGCCCCCCTCGTTTAATCCATCGCTTTGTTTTTTTTTGCACCCACTCCTTTTTTTAACCCCCCTTGAGCCTGCTGTGTTGACCCCATCCCCCCTCTACGCACAAGAACCTGCTTTCTTGACTCCCACCG